AGTTATTTTGCATAGCAATATTGACAACAATGATAATACAAATGAAAATATTGATGCTATTTACGATAAGTTGATAGCATCAATAACAAAAGCATTGAGGCTTCTCGAAGAACAAAAGGCAGCCAGGAATGCTCCATGGGTCAGAGGCATAAAAAAGAATTGGTTTAGCCATTCAGGTTTTTCTCTTCTAATTAATATTTGCTATAGTTTTCATATCTAATAAGTTATTACTTTTGATATTATTATATAAATTACCAAGTCAAGGTATAGCTGAAAGAACTTACAAAGAAAATCTCTTTTTATTATATTCTAGTACTCTTCTATAAATATAGTGGTTTTTAGAATTGATATTTTATTCTCACAGGTAGATCTTGTCTATAATGGCCAACACTAGTCATTATTTCTTAATAGATAAACCAATATAGACAAATTTGTTTGTGTTTTTGCACTTTTTTTAGCTCTGAACTACTTTTTTAAAATACTAAAATATTTAAATAAAACTTTGTAGAATTATTTTTAAAAATAAAGATTACTTTTTTGCAAAATTATTATAGTATAAAAAAAAAGTTTAGGCTACTTATAAGCTAAAAATAAAAAAGTTTAGAAAAAATTTTTAATTAAAAAAATTATTTACATTTCTTAATGAACTCTTTGAATATTTAATTTTAAATATATAGTTCATAAAACAATATTATAGCTTATATAAAGAATTAAACTTTTATTATTACATTTTTAAAGTTTTACTAATAAAAATTAAGACTTTACTTAGAAGCAAAGAATTTTTTATAAATAAAAAAATATATAAAATTTAAGAAAATTTAAAAAAAAATTATATAGTAAAAATTTTAATACAAGAATTTAAACTTTTATTATACTAAAATTTTTTAATAATTTTAAAAAATTTTCTTAATAAAGTTAATAAAATAAATCTAAAATTAAATATTTTGCTTAGAAAATATATAACTAAAATTAATATTTAAAATTTTATTAAAAAAATTAAAAGGGTTAGGATCTTACAGCCTAGTAGTCTAAGCACTTAACTCTACATGAGCGGCTTTCGAGTTCAAGTCTTAGTAGATATGAATTCTATAAATATTTGAATATACTTATTATAAAAAGTCCAAGTGAGTACAAGACTAGATTAGAAATTTTTTGAAGGAGGTCTATTGTAGAGAAGTTAGCACTATGTATAACTATAGTTGTTACAGTTGTTACAAAAGATTTTATTATACAAAGGTTGTGCATATAAATCCTTGATTGATATAGATATATATAAGCAGCATTTGATAAAAATAATATTTGAATACTTATTTTGTTAAAAAAAAGGTTATATATAAGTTAGATAACTAGCTAATTTATTATTAAAGATACTATACAATTTTGAGATAATGTTTTAAATATTATTTTAAAATAATATAGTAAATAAATATATATATATATATATTTAGAAAATTTTTTGTAAACTAAATAATAGATAGATTGTTAATAATATATGCAATTGCAGATGATATTTGAAATCTATTTCTAGAAAATTTTTTTTAGACTGGCTTATTATAAACAATACTCTATATTAGTTTGCAGAAAAATCAATAATATTTATAATATATTCTTGATTTTTCTTAAAAATTATAAATCAGTAAATTGAGTTTCTAGATATTTATCTAGTTATTTAGATAGATAGTAGTATTGATAAAAGTTGCTATAGAGGTTGATTTTTTTTAAAATAGCTAGAGAACATTTTTGTTAATATATATACCCACAATATATCACTAAAGAAAGGCGAATAATCAGGAACTAACTTATAAAAAAAAGCTTAAAAATATAAATTTTTGATAAGATTAAAAGGAATATTACTATAAATAAAAATATCTAAGAGTTTTGGATAAAGTTTTTTAAATTGTATATGAGGTATAGGTTTAATATACTAATATAAAATAGTTTTTTGTTTTGAATATTATCTAATTGATTAGTAGTATCTGTTTTGGTTATTTTGTCTAATTCTTCTAGATTAGATTTAGTTTGCTTACAAATAAAAATTGCTTTCTTAGAAGTTTTTTGAAGATAACTAGCTTTATTAAAAGCTAGCTAGCTACTGCATTTAAAAATATGCTAATAAAGCTTCTTGGACCTTTTTTCTTGTTCAGACAAGCAATATTTATATTTGCAATATATAAGGCAAAGTTAATAAAAAAAGAACAAATTAGGCATGTTACAGAAATGCAGCCAGAGAATTTAAATGGGTATCCCCTATAGTTGGGTGCAGGTATAGCAGCTAGTGTGGAACCTAGGGCAGACTACTTAAATAGACAACCAAAAGTTGCATGTATGGCTAGTCATACTCTCATTAGTAAATAATCAGAGAGCTTAAATAGGTAATCTCCTAG